AATTTGTCATTAAAAAACAAACTTACATACATCTCAAAAATTTTCTCCTAGAACAGTCTACCCAAACAATAGAAATAAAAGCAAGAATAAACAAATGGGACCTAATGAAACTTACAAGCTTCTGCACAGCAAAGGAAACCATAAGCAAAACAAAAAGACAACCTACGGAATGGGAGAACATTTTTGCAAATGAAACCGACAAAGGCTTGATCTCCAGAATATATAAGCAGCTCATACGACTTAATAAGAAAAACACAAACAACCCAATCTCAAAATGGGCAGAAGACCTAAACAAGCAATTCTCCAAGGAAGACATACAAATGATCAATAGGCACATGAAAAAACGTTCAATATCATTAATTATCAGAGAAATGCAAATCAAAACTACAATGAGGTATCACCTCACATCAGTCAGAATGGCCATCATTCAAAAATCCACAAATGACAAATGCTGGAGAGGCTGTGGAGAAAAGGGAGCACTCCTACACTGCTGATGGGAATGCAGGCTGGTGCAGCCACTGTGGAAACAACTTGGAGATTCCTCAAAAGACTAGGAATAGACTTACCATATGACCCAGGAATCCCGCTCCTGGGTATATATCCAGAAGGAACCCTACTTCAAAACACCCTACTGTTCACAGCAGCACTATTTACAATAGCCAAGACATGGAAATACCCTAAATGTCCATCAACAGATGACCGGCTAAAGAAGATGTGGTGTATTTACACAATGTAATACTATTCAGCCATAAAAATGATAACATAATGCCATTTGCAGCAACATGGATGTTCCTGGAGAATGTCATTCTAAGTGAAGTAAGCCAGAAAGAGAAAGAAAAATACCATATGAGACCGCTCATATGTGGAATCTAAATAAATAAATAAATACAAAACAGAAACAGACTCATACATAGAATATAAACTTGTGGTTGCCAAGGGGGTGGGGGGGTGGGAAGGAATAGACTGAGATTTCAAAATGTAGAATAGATAAACAAGATTATACTGTAGAGCACAGGGAAACACATACAAGATATTATGGTAGCTGACAGAAAAAAATGTGACAATGAATGTATGTATGGTCATGTATAACTGAAAAATTTTGCTCTACACTGGAATTTGACACAACATTGTAAAATGATTATAAATCAATAAAAAATGTTAAAAAAATAAAAAAAACAAACTTACAATCACTGTCTGACCCAGCAATTGTACTCTTTGATATTTATCCCAGAGAAATGAAAATTTATATTCATACATAAGTGACACTGTGTGAAAACCTGTTTATGAATGTTCACAGCAGCTTCCTGAGTCATAGCCAAAAACTAGGCACAATGGAGACATCCTTCAGTGGATAAGTGGTTAAGCAAACTCTGATCCACCCATACCATCAAATACTACTTAGCAATAAAAAGGAGTGAATTACACACACACACACGAGCTCGGTGAATCTCCAGGGAATTATGCTTTGTATTTTTTAAAATG